ATGTTGTTAGAACCATCCGCGAAATGATTCGCGATGAGGCTCGCGAAAGTATATGTTCTTTCCGCGAAAGACTTATCGAAGGTCATCGCTTTCATATGTTTTCCTTTCTACCGGACTGACAAAGAATAGAAATACAAGGTAATCCTCCGGCAGAGCCGGTGGGCGGACGAGTCAACATTTCCGTGCCTAGCCCTGCCAGTGCGTAAAGGATTCTCCGATAATTCCTGTCCCCACTGTCACAGACTAGCAACCTGAGTAGGCACAGCCCTGACAGTGAGGCAACGACCTGCAGCTGCTCTGACGGGCTGTGCAGATGTTTGTAAATGTTACGGCTTCCCGGGGAAAGCACCAGTGAAATTTCGCGAAAGATCCGCGAATGTGCCGCTAAAGTCCAGGTTCCCAGCTTGAGGCCCCCCCAACATTCCCCAAGCTGCATCACCCTGTGTTGGTAGCTGGCACGAGGATTGGGTTGAGCTGTGCCTTTTTCTATTTGGCGCAAGTAGCTGTGGAAACGTTCAACCTTCTACTGGGGTCATGCTGCCAGATGTTTGTCCCTATTTTGTGATACTATGACATGCTCCGGCTCATGTTAGCTAGACATGGTTGTAGGACCATGCTTCGCGATGAGGCCGCGAAAGATATTTTTTTCCGCGAAGAATGGCCATTCCAGGATGAAAGAACTTTGATCAATGGACCATATGTTTTGTTTTTATTTTCCAACAGTGGGTTCTGTGAGAGAGTTGGGGGTTCGCAAAATTCAGGCCAAATTTGCAATAGCAGACACCTAAGCAAGGCAGTGTCCCCTTTTGGATGTTGTTTTGTACCGCTGCTTTGGATACAGGCAAGCAGCGCTTCCAATATGTTTGCCATCCCTCGTAGTTACTATTGCTGTGTAAGGACTTCTGCTTTGGTATTACTGGCGTCATGCCATGGTTTTTTCGTAAGCAAGAGCATGAACTCAGAATTGCAACTTGCTTGTGCAGATGGGTGTAGCCCAAACACAAGCGATATATCGGCCTTGGTTTCTCGGACTCAGTTCACGCATCTTGGCCAGGGGCGGCGCAGTGGTTGCAGTGGTGGATTCCAAAACCATGGAGGCAAAAAGATGGATGAGACCAAAGGTTCCTTGGCCTGTGGCCATCATTACATTTCTGCAACCCAGCTTGTTGGTGCAGAAAAATCAGGGTACAGCTGTCAACAACCACATGGCGATGATAGTTTGACCAGTCCCTTCCCTACCTGTTTGGTTCTTGACAATTACACGTAGAACAAAAATGGAATCCAAGGTTGAGTGAGAGGTAGCTATGTCGCCGCTTCCTGGTCTCTTAACAAATCACTCATCCGGTGATGACCAATGCACCATGGCGATACACCATGGTGAGGCTGGGTGATGTTTCCTAAGTTATATAAATATATGACCCTCTATCAAATCCCACACGGCTTGGGCCCTCCCTTTGTGAACCCCGTCAACTTGGGGCTTGACAACTAGTGTATCAGCAAAAGGCTATACCGAACTCTATGCAAGTGATGTTTCTTTGGAAAGGCTACCTTTCCAGTCCAACTGACGGCAACGGAACTTGCACCACCAAGGTGACCAGCGGGCGGGGCTTGGGCATGGCGATGGGTGGAGGCACGGCAGGCATGAGTTCAAATGTCTACATCCACATTTGAAGAGAAGAAGAAGGTGAAGAAGAGGAAATTCCTCCATTCCCCCTCCTGGGCGTTCAACTCCCGGACACATGGGAGATCCTGTTGTGAAAACTGCCTGACTTCACATGATGCAGGTGTCATCCTGACCCAACGTTACCAGGTAACCCCAATGCAACATGAAAGAGTCGTAAAACGAAAGTTTTTCGGAGACCTGCTTCAGGATACCAATGCATACATGAAAACCCCACAGTGTTGATCTGAAGCTGCTGGTTTGCTTCTGCTGCGGCTGGCTGTATTCCTCCCGTATTCATCATGTGTAATTGACTGAAGCTTGATCTTGCAAGGTTTTTTCTTTGTGCCCGAACTGGGGTGTGCAGTTGACATTGCAGATATGGCTTTCTTGGGGGCCACTTGTTCTCTGGTCCCCACTCTTCGAGTCACTCTTCGATCATCCCGAGGGCCCCGTTTTTTCCCGTGCGTAGCGAAGGGTTCTCGATTAACTCTTGGGGGTCTGGGGGTAGAGCTTTGTTCGCGACCCGTTGCTTCTATGTTCGCAACCGTTCGCAACCGTCCGTAACCGTCCGCAACCGTCCGCAACCGTTCGCAACCGTCCGCACTAGAGCGCTAAGGCGCTGCCATTGGGGGAAGCTTTTGCAAGTGACTTTTCATGGATGTGTCACGTGTCAGTTTGCGCCGCTATTCCATTGTGATTTACATGAAAAAGACATGTCGCGCAAGCAACGTGATGCGTTTCGCTGCACAGGCGCAGCGTTTGGTGAGATCTGCAGATTGCTGCACAGTTCCATTGGGATTAGCGTTTGGAGAGTCGTGTTTTTGGGGTGTTGGATGTGGCCGTGCCATTGGGATTTGCGTTTCAGGGTGTGGCATCGAAGCTCGGTTTTCGTGACAAGTCTCAGCCGAAATGGCGATTTTGGTGGATGGGAGTGTGCTCAGAACGGGTCGAAATCATTCCAAACGTGTGGTGTGGTGCAAATTTTGTTGAAGCTCACATGAGATGACATTGTTACTTTTCGTGGCAGGCGCAGGACTTTGTGCGTGCTTTGAGGTGTGGAAGTGCGATTTTCGTGGCAGGCGCAGGGAATCGTGAGGTTGCAAGGTGTGACGGAGGTCACATTTCGTGGCAGGCGCAGTACTTTGCGCGCGTTAGACGTGTGGACGCGGAAAGATTCGTGGCAGGCGCAGGGAATCGGGAGGTTGTGAGTCGTGGTAGAGGTGAATGTCGCTGTCACATTGGGATTGGCGTGTGAGCAGATGTTGTTTGGAGGGGCTGGAATCGCGAATCTGCTTGGCAGGGCTGCGTGATGTGTGTGCTCCGATGGGTCTTTCCGCTGGACTTTTGGAGGAAGTCTCGCGCGAAACGTTCGTTTTGCAGACTTTGACGTGTGAGTTTTTGAGGAAGTCTCGTACGAAACGCTCGTTTTGGGGACTTGACATGTGACTTTTGGAGGAAGTCTTGTAGGAAACGCTCGTTTTGGAGACTTGACGTGTGACTTTTGGAGGAAGTCTCGTACGAAACGCTCGTGAGTGTCCCACAAGAGTGTCCCATAAGAGTGACCCACAAGAGTGTCCTACAAGAGTGTGCAACAAGAGTGTCCCGTAAGAGTGTCCCACAAGAGTGTCCTACAAGAGTGTCCCGTAAGAGTGTCTCACAAGAGTGTTCCACAAGAGTGTCCCACAAGAGTGTCCCACACGAGTCTCCTACAGGAGTATCCCACAAGAGTGTCCTACAAGAGTGTCCCACAA